CTAGGGGTGACACAGTGACACAGGACCCCTGGGGGCGAGGGGTGAAGCTCGCAGGCGTGGTGCTGGGTGCACCCATGGGTGCTGTGGGGGGCTGCTCCCCCGCACCGAGCCCGTCCCGCAGCCCCTCGCAGGCAGGGAGGTGCCGGGTGCCGGATGGCAGAGGTGTGAAGCCAGAGGGGTGGGGTCCCACGCCCCAGCGCCCTGTTTTGAAGTACCCCCTGTCCCGCCTGACACGGACCCCATCCAGGCTAACACTGCACACCCACCCCCAGGGGGGGGAAATAGACACAAATAAACGTCCCCATTTCACCCCAAATGCTGAGGGAAGAGTCTGGGCTCGCTCTCCCCCGGGAGCCCCCGAGGTCCCCAAACACAGCATGGCCTCTCCAGTGATCCAGGAGAATTAAGGGGGGGACGGGGGGGGGGAGGAAGAGGGGTAGTGGGATCTGGTTATCATCATTTTTCATTAATTACCCTTCCCTCGGGAGGGGTGAATTAAGTCTATTTGGTGACCTCACGCGGGCTGCCATGGCAACCGCCGGGAAATATTGCATTAGAGCCCATCATTGCTGCCGAGATAAGGCCGGGAGGGCCGGGGGCGGCGCGAGCCCCCCAGCCCACCCCCGGGTGGGTGTTCCGGGGTTCAGCCCGTGGTACTGCTGAGGAGTCCCAAAATAACCCAACCTGAATGGGACAGTAAAGGGTGGGCAAAAAAACCCCAGCGTTTTGCACCAAAAGGTGCTGCCGGGGCAGGATGGTTGCACAAGCTACACCCCGAAGAGCCCTCTGTGCGGGGCAAATCTGCGGGTGTTGTGTCATTTGGGGGCTGAGGTGACCCTTGGGGCCTCCCAGTGTCCCGTATAACCTCTGGCTGGGTCCAGCGGAGCCCCGGGAGGTGCCGCGGGCCGGGGTGGCTGGAGCGAGGGAAAAGAGCCGGCCCCTTCCCCACCGCCAAACCCGCTCGGCCTCATCCCAAAACCTCCCCAAAGTCTGCAGACAGCTGCGCTGGGCGCATGCCAACCCCGCTCATTCCCTCCTGCTTCCTCCGGGAACACCCTCCGCTCGCCTCCGGTTTCAGCGCTTCCCAAATCAGGGCTCAGCGCTGAACCCCGTTATCCTCTGGTTGCTGTGCCGGGATCCCGAGTCAACGACAGGCTCTGTCGGGAGCCACCTCAGCTCTGACCGACTTCTGTCCCTTCAAATCATCCAGCGAAGCTCCCGGCTCTCTTTTTTCCCTTTCCCTGCACATCCCTGGAGCATCCCGCCATCCTCCTCTGCCGCTGCCCTGGCAACCGCCGCCCCAGCATCCCTCCAGGAGCCGCCCCCCAAAAATCTCCCCCCGAAGCAAGACCCCAAGGGGACTGGGGTGTCCCCAGCATTGCAGCGAGGAACTCGTATCAGCCCTTGGGAAAGGAGGTGACCCTGCCGTGGGTGTGAGGAGACAGCGGTGCCGCGAAATCCGCCCCCGCGCCGGCTCCTTAGAAATGGGTCATTCCTGGAGCTCGCTGGGAAACTGGGAAGAGGAGGGAAAGGAGCCAAGCGGGGTGATGTCCTGGCGCCGTCCCCGCAGGGTTCAGTCCCCCTGTGTCCCCCGCTGTGTAGGGTTTTGGCCACAGGAGTCACCGGATGCGGGAACTGCAGCCCAGCCCTTCCCAGGGGAGTTGGGGCACCTCCAGTGTGGGGGTTCCTCCCGCCGCCCCATAGACCTGCAGTCCTGGCTCCCGCTCCAGCACGAGCCTCTGCCCCCTGACACCGGCAGGACCGCCCCCTCCATTCCCGGGAAGCTCCCCTGGACTCACTCAGGCCTCTGGGTTTGGGATCGCGGTCAGGTCCCTCTGCAGGACCAGGATACTCGTCACCCGGGGACGCGGCCCCCTCCTGCTCCCGGTCCTCCTGCAGCCTGGGGGCAGAGGGAGATGAGGGTGGGGGAGCAGGGGCACATCGCGGGGTGCAGCCAGCTGGGGACCCCCCGGAGATAGGAACATGATTCCATGGGCTCTGTCAGGATCTGGGGACACTGGTCTCATAATACTGGGGTCCCTGGGAATCCTGCTCCCCACTGAGCCCTTCCCCTGCCCCTTACCAGCTCCCACGGGTGCCCCAGGAACCCCCAGCACCCCAAATCCAGTGAGAACCCACCTTTTGGTACAGAGTGGCCAGACCCAACCCTTCCATTCCCCATGGCCACACCCACCTTACCTACCAGCCTCCCCGTGTCCCCATACCCCCCTAGCCCCACGTCCCCCTGGTCCCATTCTCCCCCACAGCCCCCCAGTTCCCTGTCCCCATGCCCCCTGCCCATCTGCAGGGACTCACCGGTAGTGGAAGGGTGCCACGGTGGCAGTGACGGGGTGGCTGTGGGGGGGGCCCGAGGAGAAGGTGATGGCCCCTGACCCAAATACGGGACCCCTCCCCTGTGAGCCACCATGGGACTCATCCCCTGTCCCTGCCACACCTGCTATGCTGCCCTTCCCAGGGGACCCCTCCAGCCACCCCCCAGCCCTGCCCTGCGCTGATGGAGCTTTGGGCAGCTCCGTGGGCTCCCCCACCCTGCCTGCCCCTCTCCTCCTGCTGCCCACTGCCTCTGGATTCCTCCCAGGGGACACCAGGGGTCTCGCCAGGGCTTTCTGCCTGCCACGAGGGGGGACACTGGGGCTTCTCTCCCTGCCCTTGGCCGGCTCACGGCTGGCAGCTCTGCCAGTGCCTTTGGGCTTGAGGGTCTTGGGGGCTGGCACCGTCCCTGGCCAGGGGGACAGAGCCCTGTGGGGGACAGGGGACCCTGGGGTGCTCGGGGGGGCTGCTGTGTGCAGCTTGCCATGGGTCATGGCACGGGGCACGGGGATGGCGGAGGGGTAGTGGCTGCGGCCGCTGGAGTTGACGTTGGCCATCCCGTTCATCCTGGCGAGGTGGCTGCTGGCAAGGCTGTGGAGGGAGAGGAGGGTTGGTCACGGCCCAGCACAGCATGGGTGGGCCACCCCAAACCCTGGTCATGCCCCGCCCTGGCTGGGGGTGCTCCCTGTCCCCACCCCGGGAGGAGGACACTGCATCCCAACCCCCAGGGTGAGGACACACAGAATGTCCTCCAGCAGGGCCAGGGCACGTGTGATGTTCTCTCCCAGGGAGCCTGTGCAGCCCATGGTCCCCAGGTCCCTGTGGCAGGTCCCTGCAGTAAGGACACGTGGGCACAGACCCTCCCCAGGTCAGGCTGCACCACAGGCAGGACAGGCCCCTCTTGGCCACTCAAAACCTTCTCCTGGTCCCAAAAACCACCTCCTGGTCAAACAAGACTGTCCCCTGGCCACCCAAGACCATTTCCTAGACATTTGAGGCCATCTCCTGGCCACCTAGGACCACCTTCTGGTCACCCAAGACTGTCTCCTGGCCATCAAAGCTGGAAAGGTTTCTTGGTGCAGGGACCTGATGGGAACAGCACCCAGCCTCAACCCTTGCACCCATTGCATCTCCCAGCAGAGGGGATGAACAAAGTCCAAAAATGTCCCAAATCACCCTGTTTTGCCTCTTCCCCATCCCAAGCTGCCCTGAGCCCTGTTACCCCCCAGGCTTTTGGGGGTCTGCAAAGACCAAAGCATGCCCCACATTCTCCCCCCACTAGGGGTGGCCACATCCCTGCCACAGGGATGAACACACTCAGATTCCCTTTCTCCAGGACCACATGAGCTGGATCACTTGATCAGGGAGCCATGGGTCACGAGGAGAAGGGCTGATGCAGCAGATGAGATTGAGGAATCACAGCACTCACTCCAGCACCAGCTGGGAGCTACAAAGGTCTTTCCAAGGCAGCTTCGATTAAGGGGCAGAGGGAGCTGACGCTCTGGGCTTGCCCTCACTGAAGCTTTTGAAACACTCGGGAGCTTTTTTTCTCTCCCCACATGCCAACTGAGCTGTCTGTACTTCCTCTGCTCACTGTGGTCATGCCCCCAGGCCATGGCACTGGTGGGTGGAGGCAGCACTGGGACAGGATCTCAGGGGTTTCTGGGACAGATCCATCCGTGATTCACTGCAAGGTGTGGGATGGAGGCAGGCTCGGGGGCTCTGCCACTCCCGTGGGGGCACACAGATCTGAATCCAGCCGGGGGGGCAACCACAGCCCCCAGTGTGGGGCCCTGTGCTGGCACCAGCTCACACCCAAGGGTGCTGCAAGGTGGGCAGCAGGAGCCAGGCAGGCCTCTCCCTGTGCCCGTGGGATTCCCTGCACCCACAAAGGTCACTCCTGGGAGTGCAGTGGCCAGAGCTCATTCCTGGGGGCACAGTGCTCCCAACCCAGCTCCCCTCCACCCCTCAGCCTGTTCCTGGTCTGTGTCCCCCAGTCCAAGCTTACAAACCATAATTTTGTGCTCTTTTCCCCTCTCCTGAAGGGAGCCCCGTGCCCCAGGAGTGCTGTGCCTGGGGGCAGAGCAGCTTGAAGCCTTGAGCTGCAAAATACCTTGTGCAAACACAAACAGGGTTGACCTTCACAGAACTACAGAACAGTTTGGGTTGGAAGGGACCTTACAGAGCATCTCATTCCAACCCCCTGCCATGGGCAGGGAACCTTCCACTAGAGCAGATTGCCCCAAGCCCTGTCCAGCCTGGCCTTGAACCCTTCCAGGGATAAGAGGACCTTCCTCCTCACTGGCATGAGGATGTCCAGGATGGGGTGAAGAGCCAGCAAAGCTCCAGCCTCACAGACATGAGTGGTGAAACCACCAGTCCCAGCTCACCCATTTCACCCCAAGGTCCCTCACACAAATATCTCCCATCCCAGGGGCTACTGCTGATGCATTTTCTCCTAACACGGAGGAAGATCATCTACCATAAACCCACGATCCTTCTCAACCAACTCAGAGGCAAAAAAAAAACTTACCTAGTTTCATGCTATGACCTTACATTCCCTGGCACCCACTGAGCACCACCAGCACCCCTCCAGCCCTGCCTGCTCCCTGGGCACGTGGCATTGGGGCTGTAACCAGATTTTGCAGATTTTTTTCTTCCACTTTGGATTTCTCTCTTGTGAACACAACTTCCATTTCTCCCCTCAGAGCCCACCAGTGATGCCACAAGCTGCAGAAGAAGCCAAAGCTGCCACACTGGTCACAAGAAAATCAATCCTCCTCTTGTGCTCTCAGGGCTGAGGTTTCTCAGGAGATAAAAATTCCTGCTTGGAAGCAGGCTGAGAGCAGTCCCCTTCCCACCACACACACCTTGGGTACCTCCCAGGGCACCCATCACTCCGCTGCCTCCAGCTGAGCGTGGCTGAGCCCTCCTCGGGCTTCACCCTGCTCTGGAGATGCCAGGAGCTTCCTGGGGGATGGCTGAGGGGAAATGTGGATGCAGCCCCACTTCCCCAGGCTGTGTCACCAGCTGGGCCCTCGGACTGGGCTCCCACACCCAGGGATGCCACCAAAGGGATAAATTAAAGTGAATCCCGCCAAGTCTCTATTTCCCACTGCCCCCTCCTCATCCATCACCAACCAGCACAAACTAAAACCATTCCTGGGCAAAATTCAACCCATTCTTCTTCCCAAATAGTTCTTCCTTTGCCTCCAGACTGATTTTACCCCGTTCAAGCTCTGCCCCCAGAACTGAGTGCCCCTGGTGTGTGCCCCATGTGCCACCAAGGCAGGGGAGCAGGCGAGCCCCCCGTCATGCTGTGTCACGCTGGCATCCTGCCATCTCTCTGCCCGGCTAAAGCAGGTCAGGGCTTGACCCAGTTACACCCAGCAGCTCCTTCGCAATTAGCTCAAAAGGGAAACAACTTTCTCCTTCACTGCAACCCAGGAACAGCTCTGGGGAACCGGCTGCTGCTCATCCTCCAGGTGACAGGAGCACCAGGAACTTGCACCTGACGCTTTAATTTGGGGACTTTTACCTGCTGGGTGAGTTTTTGGCCCCGTCGCTTGCCCAGGTGTCAGCTTGGGATTGTTGGGCCCCGTGCTAGTGGGAAGCAGCAGGTGCACACGAGGTATTTTAGCACCAGGGGATATTTTGGAGCAGCTGCAGCAGTGCTGTGGGCAGCAGACCCCTGTGTGAGTGCCACAGCTGAGCCTCCTGGGCAGCCAGAAGTGTTCCCCTCCCAACCAAGGGGAGGATGCTCATCCCAGCTGACTCCAGAGCTCAGGTCTCAAAGTGAAACTTGAGTTTTCCCTGAGTTAAAGACCTTTAATCCCAGGGGCAAGGTTGTTTCTGATGCCTTCAGATGATGCCATCCACAGAGATGCCAGTGTTCACATTGAAGGAAAATGACACAGCCCTTGGCCAAGCTGTGTCCTTCATCCCAGGACAAACACAAGCCAGCACATCCCTGAAGGCATCTCCTCGAAAGAGGCATCTGTTGTGCCCGGAGCTCAAGCTACTTCCTCATCCCCGTGTCCAAATCCATCTCACACGTGCGATTTTAGCAGCCAGAAACGAACAGGGACCTGGAGCCTGGTCTCATTTCATGTCCCCATTTCCATGACCCAGAGGGGTCACTGGAGCATCCCTAGCATTGAAGCAGATCCAGTTCAGGGCCATCCATCACCTGAGCCAAGCTGGGAAGAGTCTGTGACTCTGCAGGGGCTACATTAAACAGCTGAAGCACAAGAACACCAGGGGCTGCAGTAGAGCTGGACATGCTGGGTGTCCCTGGGGAGATGCTCAGGGACTGCAAGGCATCCTACATTTTTAAGGGTGAGGGTGGAGGGGTGAACCCCAGGGTGTGAGTGGCCTGTGGAGGTGAGCCCTGCCAAGGGTCCTGGTGTTCCTCGCCCCTCCCAGGCCAGTGCAGGATCCAACTCCGAGCTGCCAGCAGGGATGGCAGTGCTCCAGCACAGCCTCCTCCCTGGCACGCTCGGGAAGGGTGACAGAGAAAAGGCTCCTTGTGACAAAAGGGACATAAAACTTTCCTAAGAGAAACAGAGGGAGCCAGGGCAGAAAGGGGCCTTCAGAGGAGAACAAACTACTGATTCAGCCACCAGCCCCAGCCCTCCAGCCCCCGTGCCCCGGTCAGGACCTGGCCTGCCCACCGCCAGTGTCACTGCCTGGGACGTTGCCATCATCCACATGGACAGGGCACCAGACTGGGTCCCTCCCCAGGGAGGTCCCCTGTCCCCTCCAGAGGGCAATGCCAGGGTAGAGGGTGCGCTGGCCAGGCTGGGTGCAGACAGGTGGTTCTCCTGGGTGCAGTCAGTGGGTGGGCAGCTGGGAGGGAGGGGAGGCTGGGCAGCCCCAGCTCTTCCTGTCCTGGCTGGCTGTTCCCCTCAGCACGATGCTGAGGGCTCTGGGAGCTGCTGGGAGATGGGCTGTGCACTGGGAGGAGCTGAAGGACAGAAACTGGCTGCTGTCTGAGCAGAGATCATTAAAAAATCACAGAATTGTTCAGGTTGGAAAAGTCCTCCAAGATCGTCGAGTCCAACAGCTAACCAAGCGCTGCCATGTCCACCACAAAACCATGTCCCCAAGTGCCACATCCACGCGTTTTTTGAACACTTCCAGGGATGCCCAGCCCGTAGCCACAGCACTAATCCCCGGTTTAGCCCCTCCACAGCAATCCCATTAGCCACTTAACCCACTTCAATAAAACCTGCTCTGAGCAAAGTTGAACTCGGAGCTGGACCTGCAGTAGCAGCCGCTGCCACCGACCCCCGGGTACGGCCGGGAGACCGAGCTCTGGGCTGGGCTGTGCCCGGCACAAATCCCGCTGTGGGATGAGGCTGGATGCTCTGGGGCTGGGACAGATCCCGGGAGCTGTGCGGGGGTCTGTGCAAGGGACTGCGTGGGGGTCTGTGGGAGGGACTGTGGGAGGTGTTGTGCAAGGGTCCTCGACGTAGAAGGTCGGGGATATGCCGGGTCCCAGTAGCTCGGGCCACACAGTGCCCATTGCCCCCGTGTCCTGCCACTCGCGTCCCCACCCCGCGGGTCTCTCCCTGCCCTG